GTAATGTAGTTTCAGAATATCTATGGTTATAGGGTTTATCTCCCAAACACTAGGAGGGGTTCGATAACAAACAGGCCTGAACCTTATGTGTTTGGATTAAACTCTTTCGAAATAATGTTTCCTTACACATCTCCGACAAACCAATTTAAAAAAATCTCCGTTCGGAGTTCACCTGAAAGACTTCTTGGCCCCCGGAGGATTGATTCGTGTAGAATATGCTACGGACGGTAGTGCTGACTGACATTTCAAATTTCAAGAAAAAAAAAAAAGAAAGGTTTAATCACGTTAAATCTGTTATTTTACGAAGTTTCGCTGATGAACTGCGTAAAAGCCAGAACGCACAAGAGATTTCACCAATCGCTGGGAGATAGTATTTACATGTCACCCTGTCTGCTATTCTTGTTTTAATATTAAAGCCACGAGTGCACATGACTCGAGGTTTTTTTCGAGAGATTTTTCTCAACAATGTTGCATTTACTTTTCTTTCCTTCGTTTTTAAAGAAGCATAACAAATCGATTTTTTCATTTTTTTTTTTTCAAAAACATTATATAGGAAACAGTTTTGCGAATTTCGTCATCTTGACTTGAAACAATCACACTTATTATTCGAAGGCATACTCATATTACTATCAAAAAAGCAAAACGCATCCCAGAAGACAGCAGATTATTTGGGCAAAGACTGGACCTGATTGTCGTCTGCTAATATAGAGCCGTCCCGCCAACGAGCCTAAAAAGCAATTCATCAAAGTTTTTAATCCTCATGTAAAGGCATAAACCAAAACCTAGAGAAATGAATCGTCATGTTTTAATGAAGAAATAGATCATCTGGGTGGTAATCAGGTAGATTTGTTACTTACAAGGTTATGTGTCGTGTTGTAATTAAAATTATTACTAAGAGAAAAAACAAGAACAACATCTATTCTATACCTGAAGATGTCTGTAGGAACAGACGAAAGCTTGTAGTAAAAATAAGAACTAATATGGCATAAATTTATGGAAACAAGGATCATTTCATTCATAACGGATTCGGAGGTTTTTGTATATTATTTGAATTGTTTGCGATGATGGATTTCTCGCCAATTAAATCATTAACCTTTGCTTTTGTTTTTGTGTGAATAATTCATGAATTTGTAAATTGGTTGCACGTTTATCGTAATTTAAATAACTGATGCAAGTGCGACTTTTGGATAATAAGTGCGACATTACTGTAATTATTGAACAATATAGTTCATGCCACTTTGACAGAAAATTTACCAGTAAAAAAAATTCGTTCATCACCATATTTATATGAACGCACAACCTTTAAAGATTTAAAATCAAACTCAGCGTTGCTACTGCGCGCTCCAAAAACAATAACTCATTTTCAATAGCATTTTCGTATACAACAATACATATATTTTCGTTGTCCTCTTATTACTAAGAGAAAAAACAAGAACAACATCTATTCTATACCTGAAGATGTCTGCAGGAACACGAAAGCTTGTAGTAAAAATAAGAACTAATACGGCAGAAATTTATGGAAACAAGGATCATTTCATTCATAACGGATTCGGAGGTTTTTGTATATTATTTGAATTGTTTGCGATGATGGATTTCTCGCCAATTAAATCATTAACCCTTGCTTTTGTTTTTGTGTGAATAATTCATGAATTTGTAAATTGATTGCGCGTTTATCGTAATATATATATATATATATATATATATATATATATATATATATATTATGTAATTGGCCTTTACGGATGTAATTGGATATCTAAGTATGAAAAAATTTGCAAAACAAATATAATTAAGAAAGCGGCCAGACAAACGCCTCCCGTTTCGAGAAATAAAGTCTGTCGAAAAAAAATTGCAGAATAAATCTTCGGAAATTTGTTTAAGATATAGGTGATAAATCAATACAATTCGCTACAATATATTAGAACTTTTCTTATAAACAAATATCTTAGAATGCTTTGCAATTATTTGATAGTTGACGAGGTTATGTGGGTGTGTCATAATAAAACGTCATCTATATTGCTGGAGAATTGTGTCACATGGCTTCCGAGTAAATAAATAAATTGATGTTTGTTCGTTTTCCGCCGCTACGTAGTTTTAACTAAATGTGAGGAAGAAACATGTATGCATAATAAAACATACAATTAATATAAAAAAAAAATAAGTTGAAAAATAAAGAAACTGAGTGCACAAAAAGGAGGCATCCACACATTATGCTATTTTGATAAATATGAATCTCCGTATGCAGACGACTGCTGTTTGTTGTTGTTTGTTTTTCATTTTGTTTTTTTGGGGGGCGGGTATGATTTCACCTTTGAAATACAAAAATAGATACAAAATTAGTATAAATGTCATCTGCGACTATTATTAACTGAATGAAATTTCTTTTTTTCCATTTATTGATTTATTATTGCGTTTGATTTCACTGTTGTATAATATAGGTAATAATAATGATATATAGAAATATATATTTGCGAACACTTGAATTTGAACATAGATCGCCACTGAGCAAACACATGTGACCCCATTTTTGTATTAGAATAGATCACTTGAGGATATATATATATATATATATATATATATATATATATATATATATATATATCCTCTCAAGTGATCTATTCTAATACATGGGAATTATCGTGACGACATTTGTTACTATTCGAATCTCTATTTCTACTCTATCTTTCTATTACTATACGGACCGGCATTTACTCTATTCACTATAGTATTCCTCTATTCGGAACACTATACAGGTTAATTGTCGAGCAAGTATTTTCGAGCAAGTACAATAAGTGCGGGTGATATTCGAAGGCGTCTGACACCAGTATTGTTCAACGACGTACTATAGTTGTATCTGCGATTACAAGTCTTTACTACAACGAGCATTACAAAAATGACAACGAGTATTTGTTGGTATCTCAAAAAATAATTATTACAACGATTTGTATTGCAAATGCAAAACTAAAATATGTGTAACTAGCAGCATGGGCCGGAGTTGCCCGTGCTTGATTCAAAAATACAGCAATCACTATCACTTGACTTAAAATATTTTTGCCCTTCCTTGCCTTTAAAGGAATGCCCTTTGCCGTGCTGATGTTGCTACATGCGTTACTTCTTGCCTATCTCACACTGCACATTTTTTCTAAGCTCTATACTAAACATTAAATCTGTTACAAAAAAAAAAGAACTAAACAAAATGAACACAAAAAGATCAGCTTTAAAAAAAGGACTCGTAACTGGAAAAACCGAATGAAAAAAGAATATTAAGAACAAATACTTTTTCACACCCAACCCAGTTCTGCGGAATCAGAATCAACGTCGAGTTTAAGCAAGCGAATGAGCCAATTGGAGTAAAGTGCCATGCAGATTTAAATTTTTCCCACATGTGACGAATGCAGCTATCGATTGTTTTTGCATGCTAGTTAACATTCGTGTCAGTCAGCTGTTGGCCCTCACGCTGGCCAATAGAATCTTCCTGCCTATTCGTGACAGCCAGCTAGAGGCTCTCACTCTGGCCAGTAGAAAATGGCCGCAAACTACATGAAAAGTGCCGTAGAAGCATGAAAAAATCGATTATTTCCACTATCGATGGGAGTTGGGAAATGCAAAGTCGGTCTTGGCCTTCTCACTAACTTGGAGTATGTGCATGTAAATGTTGGTGCAAATCCGTCGAAAATTGTGGCCGTGCATTCGTTACACACACACACACACACACACACACACACACACACACACACATACATCCTGCCTTTTATAGATAGAGATTAGTAATGAAATTGTGACTTTTGTTACGTTATTATTTTTTTTATCCTGGAATTTTTTTAAAAGAAATCAAACGGTTTTATGAGTATTGAGAAGTAAAACAAGGTAACATACAGTTTTACAGATGAAGTTGCAGTTTCTAGATTAAGTAACTAGGAAAGAGAATCTGAAGAATTTAACACGCATAGGCGATTCTGAGAGCAAGAGAAGCAAAGAAAACACCGAGACACATAACGTACTAATTGTGTGTGATTTAACAGCAATAGATGGACAAAGAGAGATAGTATAGGGTCAAAGGTTACTTAGAGATATATACAAGTGGGTGTCGGGGGATAAATCACCTACGTCTTAAAGGTTCACTCCACATAAACATATAAGAATGGCAATGACTAGTAAACTTTCGAAAATATAGTAAACATAAGTAGTCTTTTCTTTTGTGTGTGAATACGTGCATATATCATACGGGATATGTTTTATAGAAATTATCGATTTCCAAAATATGCACGAACGTTTGAATTTGGAAGAGCATTTTATAAATGCTGCGTCCGAAAGACGAAAGGCCAAGTCGATGCATAAATATCTATATGTAGGCATATTATTAGGAAATATCTGTATGTCGGCATATTATTAGGAATGTAATTGCATGGAGTAATTGGTTTATAATCCACTTTGAAATTTATTTACCACGTCAATAAAAACCTGATTGAACCCGTGCTTACGCGTTGGAGATGGGAGTTTGGTAAAAGTCGACATAAGTAATCATAGATACATATATAAAAATATAACCATACATACATACATACATACATACTATCTATCTATCTATCTATCTATCTATCTATCTATCTATCTATCTATCTATCTATCTATCTCAGTCTGTTCCTATCTATCTATCTATCTATCTATCTATCTATCTATCTATATATATATTGGTCTCTGCGTATAGGTATCCTCGTGTGTTTGAGTCTCTCGTTCTTTCTATGAAACTCTATATATCTATCTATCAATAGCTCTCTCTCTCTCTCTCTCTCTATATATATATATATATATATATAGTAAAGGGGAGAAACGAAGAAAGAGGTGACAAAAAACACGAAAGGGATGACACAAAAAACGGAAGAGATGAGATAGATAGATAAATAGACAGACAGACAGACAGATAGATAGATAGATAGATAGTAGCTTAAATTATATAAATTAAAATACCACTGTAAATTAAATACTTTTAAGAGTTTCCATTAATAGATAGATGGATAGATAGATCGATAAGAACATACCAAGATATATAGATAGATATCAACAGACTAAAACAGAACGACAAATACATAGATTAATTTTATTAAAGAAAATCAGAGGCAAATATATATAAATATATATGAAATGATTTAAATAGAAAGGTAGATAGATATATAGAAAAATAGACATGACGACTGTGGTAGATAGATAGATAGGAACAAACGAAGATAGAGTAGTAGCTATAAACAGACTAAAACAGAAAGAGAGACAGACGGACATATAGATAGATAGATAGATCGATAGATAGATAGATAGTGTCATATAGAAAGAAAATGGGTATCTATCCAGACCGAGATTCAAGCGTTACACTCTGAACTTATGAATATATGTTTTCCGCCAGGTGTATAAATAGCGGTGTCAGGCTACTAACTGCAGTGATTATTGAGTGACTGTTGAGTGGAACTATCCAGTCGAATTAGTGTGAATTATTGTCCGTCTATGATTTGGATTTTATTTAGGATTTACCGGACATTAAGCCGAGCCGCGCCACTAACAAGGTTATTCACTAAAATGGTCAATTATCTTTAGTTGACTTTTACTCCTTTGTTCTCGTTAAGTATTGATTTGCGGTTAAAATTAAATACTGTTTTACCTTAACATTGAAGTCTTGAGTTATACTTAATTATATCACGACCACCGTAGCTCACAAAAGTTTGTTAGATAGATAGATAGATAGATAGATAGATAGATAGATAGATAGAACCAGGATAGATAGTGTTGAGGGGTTCTCCCCTTTTTACACAAATGGACTCACCCAGGGTATACATATACTACTGCTACGCGAAGACCCGGAAGAAGAACGAGCCCTAACGTAACGAGCAAGAGTCACAGTGAGCAAGCACATAGACTCAGTAAGAAGTCATAGAGGAATACGCCGATACCAAAGACTGTATATATATATATATATATATATATATATATATATATATATATATATATATATATATATATATGCTACTAATCCGCATTCCTGGAACTACTAACGTGCATTACTAGTTTGTATTATTACATTAATACATTTATTTTCCTATATTCCTTCTTGGGGTTTGTTATTTATTGGTAGCGGATTTCATCCCGGAATCTACAACAGATAGATAGATAGATAGATAGATAGTAAGAAAGAACCACGATAGATAGATAGATAGATAAATAGTAAGAAAGAAACAGGATAGATAAATAGATAGATAGATAGATAGATAGTAAGAAAGAACCACGATAGATAGATAGATAGATAAATAGTAAGAAAGAAACAGGATAGATAGATAGATAGATAGTAAGAAAGAACCACGATAGATAGATAGATAGTAAGAAAGAAAGATAGATAGATGTAAGATAGATAAATATATATATATATATATATATAGATATATATATATATATATATATATATACAGGATAGATAGATAGATAGATAGATAGATAGTAAGAAAGAACCACGATAGATAGATAGATAGATAGATAGTAAGAAAGAAACAGGATAGATAGATAGATAGATAGATAGATAGATAGTAAGAAAGAACCACGATAGATAGATAGATAGATAGTAAGAAAGAAACAGGATAGATAGATAGATAGATAGATAGATAGATAGATAGTATGAAAGAACCAAGATAGATAGATAGATAGACAGTAAGAAAGAAACAGGATAGATAGACAGATAGATAGTAAGAAAGAACCACGATAGATAGATAGATAGTATGAAAGAACCACGATAGATAGATAGATAGATAGATAGATAGATAGATAGAAGAACCACGATAGATAGATAGATAGTATGAAAGAACCACGATAGATAGATAGATAGATAGATAGAAGAGTGTGTTTCGCCATCTTTACCGGGTTAGAAGTACCTGCATTCGAAATACTGATTTGTATCTCGGTTCGATGGTCACCCCTTTTGTGCCGCCCTGAAAGAAGGAACTATCTCCCATGCACACTGCATATTCTTTCTCTTTTGCCTGTATTGTTTCTTTCTTTCTTGTTTTTAATTCTTTCTTACACGTATTAAAATGTTAAGAGGTCCGTACGCTGCTTCTCTGTAAATTTCAATCGGAGGTAGATCTCATTGTGTTAATACCCGAAGCAATAAATGCGATGCCGATGTTTTTATCCATCTGGTATTTTTAGAGCCATTCCCCTCACCCAAGCAAGCAAGGCGGGAGTGTCACTTGGACGCAAGGGGTTACAGAGGGTAGCGAACAAGAGTAAAGAGGGGTGTTTGGGGAGAGGATAAAGAGAATATCGAGGAACAAAATCAATGTATCAGAAGATGTCGATTGACATTACACTTGAAAATTTGAAGATTATAGGTATCAGGGAAGCAAGCAAGATGAAGAGACAAGAAGTGCGAGGGAAGAAGCTGTTTGAGTAGAAGAGGCGGTTACATTTAACCGTTTTGACAGTGAAAGGGTGGGAGCGAGATGCCAACTTAATACCTCGCTTAAATTCAGGCAGTCTGGGAACCAGAGAAACCAACCAGTCGCAACAGTTGTCGTGAAAATACTTATAGAAGAGACAAAGAGAAACCACATCACGTCTGTGAGAAAGAGACTGTAGACTAGATTCCAGATCCTATTGCATATTTGTCTCTGGATTTATTTCGAGGACCTCGTGACGTACAGCGCGGGCACAAGACCATATATGACAGCAATATTCCATCCAAGGTTGAATGGTTGATTTATAGATTTGAAGGATGGACTAAGACGAGAAAAACTTTCTGGAACGACACAGAGAACCAACATTCCTTGCGGTAAATGAAGCTATTGAGTCTACGTATTTGTTCCATCTCATATTAGCAGACAGCGTGAGACCAAGCAGGCTTAACGTAAGAGCTATTCTGGTGGAAGGCCGAGAGGGTTCTCTGTTGTGGGTAAATCAGAGCAGTTTACGAGCCATTTCCTGACCCCAGTCAACCGCAGATTAGAGGTCCTTTTCGAAACCGTCGCCCAGGTTATTTTTTTTTCAATGATACCAAATTTACTATGGAGGTAGGAGTGTTAAAAGTAATGTGATCCGCGTAGATGATACTTGGAAATTGATGACATCGGAAAGATCAGGAACAATATACGACCCAAGATAGAGCCTTGGGGAACACTGGCGTTTGTGATAAAGGAGCCGGAGGAGAATCGATTTAGTACGACCTTCATTTCAGGGTTTGACAGAAATGATTGTATTAAGTCAAATAATCGTCCTGTACTACTGTATCGCTGAAGCATACCAAGAAGGCCGGCATGCCAAACTTTATCAATTGCTTTAGAGATGTCTAGAGCCAAGACACGAGCTTCTTCGTTATTGTGAAGTGCTTTTCAGTTATGGCCGTGAGCACGTCAACAGTAGATCCGGCAAAGCGGAAAACATATTGCATGTCGAAGAGCAGATTATGGGAAGTAAGGTGTTTAAAGCCTCGAAGTTGATTAAAGCCTCGAAGACTTTACTGAAGAGTCGTAAGAGACTGATAGGACGGTAGTTAGATGCGTCAGAAGGGTCTCCAGAGTTCTTAAAGACAGGAACAGATGAGGACTTCCAACAGGCTGGCAAGCAAGAGTTGGCGAGGCAGTAGTTGTATAGTTTTGGAGATGACAGGAGCCAGTTCAGGAGCATATTTCTTCGGGACAATGGCAGGCATCCCGTCCCCAGCACTAGCGTTATGGGTGTCTAATTTAATGATGTGCGATACAATCGTTAGGGTTATGATTATGTCCCTCAACAGAGTTTCAGTTCTAGAGGGAGAAATCAGTTGTGGGTATGAGTCTAGCGTTAAATTCGATGAGAATTTCCGAGCAAAGCATTAAGCATTGTCAGCTGAGGAAATCTGGACCTCAAATTGGTTAAATACTGAAGGTATTGTGGGCTTGATGTTGTTCAGCACGCTCTTGGAGAGCTGCCATAATCGTTAGAACCAAAATTTGTTTCATTCTTTTGGCAAATAGTACCTTAGCTTCATTGAGGACATACTTGCACTCATTACGGGAAGCGACAAACAGACGTCTGCTGCAATCAGGGATGTCGTTACGGTAGAGATGGAAGTAGTGATTACTGTAGAAGCTGAGCACACATCTAAGAACCAAGCAAGGGACACGATTTCACTTTATATTTTCTCACGGGGACGAAAGCCTCAATTCCAGATTTTACGCAGACCCCCAGACGGACATTTTTGGAAGGGGAGATTATAAACAACATTCCAGTGGACATCGCGGAGGAAATCACGGAACGAATCCCAGTCTGCTCGTTGATAACAGAAAGACGTTCTGTTGGTGGGAGGTTCTCTATTGGAGAAGAAGTAGAACGAGTTCACAGACACGATGGCATAACCAGAGTTGCCAAGAGGGCAGAGCTGCGTGGCACGACAAGATTCTGGGATGGAGGTAGACCAGAGATCGAAAAGGGGAAACCTTACGACCATGGTTACTGGGGAAACGTGTAGGAAAGTCAAATACTTGTGTGAGAGATTGTGTGATTGAAAATTTAAGTGTTTGTATGCCAGGAAGGTCAGATATGGAATGTTTAAGACATTTGATATGGTGGACATTAAAGTTACCGAACACAAATATGTCTGCAGACGGATGTAGAGAGATAGCCTTGTCTATATTATTAGAAATTCTATCGAGTACATCACAGTCTTGAGAGGATGAAGAGCGATAGAGAAAGAAGAGATAGTTAACAGAATTGAGAAGGGATATCTGCGAGACACATGTGTGAATGGTCTGGCTATTCAAGAAAGTGTTCCCTAGCCAGTAGTAGATGGTTCCGTTCGTAAACTCTCAGGCTGTTCATGTGGATTATGGACTCCTTTCTAAGGAGTCCATACTCCACATGTAACCGGGAATTGAGAAATCAGAGGAAGGGGATTGATGAATTAAGGTTGATCTTGCAGTGAGCTAGTATATCAGGAGACTACTCAACGATGTACGATTCCTCACTGGAGAATTTGGATCGAATACCAGGGATGTTGGAAAAGGAAATGCTAAAGGGTTTACGTGATTTTTGAGAGCTGGTTTAGGTTTACATTTTTGATTGTTTGAAGACATGTTTAGTAATGTTAGTAACGGATGTGAAAGGCCTAAAGTAATAGTAGCTGACGGTCATCGTATGTGATATGGACAGAAAGGAGCTAGCGCAGCCTGCAACATAATGTCGTCCTGGGGTTGCCCACCGGAGGTGCGTGCAAGGACATACTTCAATGCGCGACATGGCACTACAAGCGCCCCGATATTATGCAACTGTTGATCATCGCTAGAGTCAGGACTCATAACTACAAGTCGGGAAGAGCAACCAGTAAACTGTCAACCGGTACGCTGAGTAGGAAGAGACGTTGCCACAGGCTGCACACATCACAAGGGATTCACGGCAGCACTAATACAGAGGGCAGAGAAAAAGAAACTATATGAGAACCCCTTCCTAAACTGGAAACAACAGATAAACCTGCATGACTGTTCAAGATAGGAAGAGGAGTACAAACCCGGCGATAGGTTGACCTATCTACTCCTATTACACACACACACAAAGGGAAAGTGGAAATATATATATATATATATATATAGAAAAAGTTTCAAATTAAAAAATAATAATGTTTTATTTTATGAAAGTATTTATTTATTTATATATATATATTTGATATTTCAAATTGTCCTCAATTTTTCATCAGAAATTACTGTTTGTTACAAATAAATTAAAATTACTGTTTGTTAGCAAGCAGCGTCCTTCGCGAGACGCGGACATCACGTGATATGGAACGTCACTGTTCGGATATTCCTAACTTAAATCTAACTGTCATAAATATTTTAAATGTTGTTTAAAAAAATTATTAAGTAAGTATAAGTGGCTTCTCATTATGCTATATATATATATATATATATACATATATATATATATATATAAAGTTTCAACTTTAAATGCGAACATGCACTTCGGCGGGAGTGAAGAAATGCAAAACCGCTTCATGATCTTTACACACGTGCTGAGTTAAATGTCCGCTGCTTGCATGAATATTTCAAAGACTTCATATTCAAACAAGGAACTCAAAATAAAATAAAATTAGAAAATCAGAGGGGATAGACTAAATTCGCTTCAATTTATTATATTTGTTAAAATTTGTCTAATCACCGTTGCCTTTTTTTTTATCAAGGAGGCCATCCTAACATTCGGCAACTTTGGAAAATGCCTACAAAAATACTATGGTAGACAAAAGTGTTGCTCGTGAACCTGGGTTGGACAGAAATATCGGGGAGCCGTCAATGGTTTTGCTAGCAAAAAATCAGAAGTCATCGTCAAATGAGGGTTTGAGCGTGCCGGCCTAGTTAAGATTGTTGAACACGCCAGATGATATACACTCTCCCAGAAACTGTATGGCACTATCTATCTATCTATCTATCTATCTATCTATCTATCTATCTATCTATCTATCTATCTATCGTTCTGCTTTATTCTGTTTATATCTATCAATCTATCTTAGTCTGTTCTTATCTATCTATCTATCTATCATTCTATCTATCTGTTTTAGTCTGTCCATTGCTATCTATCTATCTATCGTTCTGCATTAGTCTGTTTATATCTATCAATCTATCTTAGTCTGTTCCTATCTATCTATCAATCTATCTATCTATCTATCTATCTATCTATCTATCTATCTGTTAATGGAACCTCTTAAAACTATTTCATTTCCAGCATTATTTTATTTGATATAAATTAAACTTGAACTAAAATATGCCAAGAAACATATGGAATACATTTTTGAATTTCCATTAAAAGAAGAAATTAAAAAAAAAAAAAAAAAAAGGCAATTCCGCTCACGACGAAAGGTTAACCCATTCCTTCACGACCTCAGCCGTTAA